CGAGCCATGTGGCAACTTATAGATTAATAGAAATAGGTTGATTTAAAATATAAAAACAATTAGCAAGAAGCCTGCCACAGCCATATAGTTTTTAAATAATATAAGTCTCTGTGTGTTTTCTTGGTTGGGTCTGAGCGGCTGCGGGACTGGCAGGTGAGAGAGATTTGTCCTGACTGAAAGACCCTAACCCTTCAGGCTTACACCCCCCAAGCCCCAGGAAATGAGAAACTAAAAATCTAGTTCCAAGGGCAAGCTGACTCAGCCATTGTTCAACCACCCCTGCCATAATGTAACAATGTAAAAAGATTTCTGTTAAGAGATGTGCTCAACTGTGACGGGGATAGTTGCAAGTGTCCCAGGAAGGACCACTGTGACCTTTGTGTAAACTCCACTCCCACCCTCATACCCCCCATTGAGGTGTCAGGAAGAATGTACATGTGGACGTGACTGTACCCACTCTGTGATCAGACCATGATCTTGTGAAACAAAATTGTATGGGAATTGTAATCTTATGGCTTTTGTGGGCTTTTCCTTTAAAAGCCCCCATGGGGCTGCAATAAAATGCGGCTCTTGCTCTTTGGAGCAGAGTTTGCCCTTCTGTACAGTCGCCAATAAACCTCTTGCTATTGCATCAACTGGACTGGAGTCTGGGTGCTTGGGGTGCCCACTCAAGAAGGTAGTACCATGGGTCTGGGGTCTATCACTGACCATGAGCCAGGCAGGACCAGAAAAACTCTAGCTACAAAATCTTTTTATGGCCAGGCGGTGGTGGGAGGCAGAGCCAGGGGGATCTCTGCAAGTTCAAAGCCAGCCTGGGCTACCAAGTGAGTCCCAGGAAAGTCGCAAAGCTACACAGAGAAACCCTGTCTCCAAAAAAAAAAAAATCTTTTTATAAAAGCTTTAAAAAACAGAATCCAAGGTCTCTCTGTGTAACTTGGGCTGACCTGGAACTTGCTCCTTTAGAGCAGGCTGGCCTCCAACTCAGAGCTTTGCCTGCTTCTGCCTTACAAGTGCTGGGATTAAAGGCTCACACCACTACGGCCAGCTTATACTTTGTATTTTTCACTTGTGCTTTTATTTTATTTTGTGGAACGGTCTCTTGTAGTTCAGGCTGACTTCCAACTCACTTTGTAGGCAAGGATGGCCTTGAACTCCTGGCTCTCCTGGTTCCACTTCCAAAATGCTGAGATCTCAGGTGTCTACCACCTGTCCAGTGTTTTATATTTATAGTCTGTATCACTTTGGTCTAACTTCATTTCAGCCTCAGTGGCCACAGGAAGCTAGTAGTTGACAGCACATGGCTGGAGGGTGAGCATTGCTATAAATAAAAGCAGTCACAGCGAATCATTACTACATGCTTACAGAGTTGCTGTGCGCTTACAGCCTGCCCCCTACTCTACTGAGCACTCAAGGCTTTGTGTGCTCATCAGACCTGATCTTCATAGCAGTCCCCCATCCCAGGGACTATTCTCAAATCTATACTCTAGATGAGGAAACAGTCTCATAGACTAAGAACTCACCTAACGTGACACAAGAAACTGAGCTGCAGAAGAGACAAGACTAGATCCAGACTCCTAGCTCCACACTGTTTCTCACCTCTCAACATCGTTAAGCAATCAATAGACTTTGAGAGCTTGATAACTCCAGGTTTGTTAGGATTCTGTACATGTGCTGCTTGGGGTCTTGCCTGGTGCCTTATTACATCATCAACAGGCGACTGTGTCCCAGCCTTAAAGCCGGACGTGCACCCCCACACTCTCTCTCTGCGCCTCTCTTTCTGTTTCCTCTCTGCCAGGCCTGGCTTCTCCTGTCCTATCCCCTCTTCTTTCTAACGAAGCCCATTCTAACTCTGGTAGCCATGGCTTGTGACTCTTCCGCCGAACAACCAGTGCCGGTTATCCTTTCAAGGTTGACACAACTGAAAACACATATATTGGCTGAACACATCATGAGCCATATCAAGTGGGGTTTCATCTTGACTTCATTTTTGCTTTTCCAGGGCTTTGGAGCATGCTGGGTACTCTGCCACTGGTTTGCACCCCCAGCCCAGCCCAAATGCTTTGATGGGTAAATTCATGTTTTGAAAGTCATCACAAAGAATAAGCAGATCTTTTCAGAAAATCCCCCTCCCCGAACCACAGGCCAAGCAAACAGCACAGGACTGGGTGACTGACAAGCCACATAAAGGGCTGTGTTTATTATGTTCCCAAGCTCCAAGAACTGCCAGAAGGATTAGTTTAGGGAAAGTTGGTTTTCTCCAGTCTTGACTGACAGTTAAAATCAAGCTCTTTCCCTTCTCCCCTTCATCCTTCTCTCTTAAACCTGCAGGGCCAATGTTCTCAGCCAGGCTGAGGTGGGGGGTGGGGCTCTTTTCTCCTAGGCCTCCTCTGAAGTGTGACTAGGACTGGATGTCCTTCTGTCAGCAGAGGAGAGAGTCGGCTGGCCTGGCACCTTCATGGTGGCGCATGCATAGCAAACACCACCTCTAAGTGATTGTTCTGGATAATTCAGCTCTTCTTTTTCTTTCTTATTTCTTTCGGGGCTAGGCTGGGCTAAGGACGCTACTCCTTAAGCCCCATCACTGGCTCCCAGCTTTTCATTTGATGTGATTTACCTTCAGACTCTCCAAATAAAACCTTGATTTCCTCACCCCCCCCCCAATTTGGGAGAGACTGGTGTTGAAATAAAAACATTAGCTCTGGCTTACACAAGTCAGACATTGATGTCTCTCTTCTGTGAACATAGTCAGTCCATGGTGGCCCCCGTGAGAAGAACCTGAGGTTTGTTGGAAGTGAGGAAGAGGCAGAGTAAGGAGCTGTGTCCATATCCCTAACATGGTTCAGAAATTCTTCTCTTCATTTGCAGCACTTTCATCATTAAATATAAAAGACAATTTAAAGACAATTTCTTCCCCAAAGGAAACCTAAATACCTGGAAAGGCCATTTCATGTCTGCCCGTGTATGTGTATGAGATGTCTGCTCTACTAATAGGCCTTAACAGAATTTACCTTCCTGGAGGGTGAGTATGGGCCCGTGTATAGAATTAATACCAAATGATAAAGGTGGTCCTGATAAACCAGCCTGCCTCCAGCTTGAGCTTGAAAGCTATTCCTGTTGACAATTAAATCTGTTTCTCAAGGATTAGGCTATGCCCCGCCTACACTCTTAGCTACCAATAGTTCTGTACTGCCTGTTCCACGAAACGGCCACCATGCCTGTTTCAAAAGGTTGTTATGACTACCTTGTTATGACAACGTTGTTATGACCACCTTGCCCCCATGCCTTTGTTTCAGGAGGTTGTTAGGAGGACATTGTCAGGACTGCATTGTTATGACCACCTTGCCCCCATGCCTTTGTTTCAGGAGGTTGTTGGGATCAACTTGTTATACTTACGTTCTGCTTCTGTGACTCCTGCTTATTTGCCTCCCAAATCACCCATTTGGAAACACCCTACCCCTGAGCTATAAAAACCTTACCTTCCTCATGTCCAGTGCTTATCTCTTGAACCCCACCTTTTGGAGAGACAGCCCATGCACACAAATAAAGCTCGCTTTATTTAATTAATTTGGCCATGATTTGGGTCAGTGGACTTTCTCCTCACATCTGTGGGATTAACAGTCCCAAATCTTACATTATTTCCATTGCTTGATACAGGTATGCCTAAAGAGACACACCATTTATTTTATTTTTTATTATTTATTTATTTATTCATTCATTCATTTATTTGTTTGTTTATTTGGTTTTTGTTTTTTTTTTGTTTGTTTGTTTTTGTTTGCTTTTTCGAGACAGGGTTTCTCTGTGTAGCTTTGCGCCTTTCCTGGAACTCACTTGGTAGCCCAGGCTAGCCTCAAACTCACAGAGATCCACCTGCCTCTGCCTCCCAAGTGCTGGGATTAAAGGCGTGCGCCACCACCGCCCGGCTTTATTTGGTTTTTCAAGGCAGGGTTTCTCTGTGTAACTTTGGAGCCTGTCCTGGAACACCCTCTGTAGACCAGGCTGGCCTTGAACTCACAGAGATCCTCTTCCCTCTGCATCATCCCAAGTACTGGAATTAAAGGCATGCTTCACCACCACCCAGAGAGACACACCATTTCATGTTGTAGCTTTTAGTCAATTCCCTGCTTTTGCACTAATTTTTCCAACATGACTTCTGGATTGCCCTACACTTTTTTAAGGGGTCTTAAAAACTCAGGTTGTGCCCAACGCTTACTTTTGGTGTAGAAGAGTAGCAGGTGTGATGGTGACTCTTTCTGGATTTGGAAGTGCATAGGAAACACATCTGCAAGAGGATGGTTGAGGGCTTCCAGAGAGGTTTAACTGAAGAGGGGAGCACCATCCTTAATATGTGAAGCACCAACTCATAAACTGGAATCCTGTAATGAATAGTGAGTTCGAGGCCAGCCTGCTATACAAAATGAGTTCCAGGACAGCCAGGTCTGTTACCCAGAGAAACTCTGTCTTGAAAAACAAACAAGAAAGGGGCCCAGGGAGCTATCTGAGCATTCCTCTCTCTGCCTCCTGACTGTGGACACAGGCCACCAGGTACCTCCAGCTCCTGTTGCCTCCAGCGAAAACTGATCTTGATCTGTCAAGCCAACAATCTTGATCTGTCGCCAGGCCTTTCCTACCGTGCAGCACTCTTCCCTCCAGATGAATGAAGATAAAGCCTTCCGTCCCTAAATCGGTTTGTTGGGTATTTTGTCCTGAAAGCAGCTAATGCAGAGGTGTAATAAGCCGCCCTGGTGAATTCTTCCCTCTAACGCGTCAGATAAGCCCGCTGTCATTTCAGTCTCCATTCTCACGTTTATCACTGAAGGATAGTGAAAGATGCCGGTAAATACCCTAACTGGAAAATGGTTCTTGCCATTTTTCTTTCACGCCCCTAAGAACTTGCGGAAAGCCAGGAGAGGGGAGCAAGCTTTCTCAGTTTACCCGCGATGCCCTGTAGTTCTCAAACTCTGCCAGGAGATGGCGGTAGGAACCAACGACAAAATCCTTCTGCTCGTCATCTCAGCTTCTCATTGTCCGGTGGACACTTCCTGCATCTAATCTGATGCTTATGAAAACTATTTCCTCCTTTCAAAAGCACAAGCCCAAACAGAAACTAACCTCGCCCTGCAGATCGAGGATGTTTGTGCCGTTCCAGTTGTCGAACCCTCCCAGCTACGGCTTTAACTGTCAAGTATTTTCCCAGCAGCTACAACATGTCCGTTCCAGGAAGCAAAGTGAGAAAAGACTGTGGACTTCCTCTGGGCTGGTGGGAAGGTGTGTCTAGGGGCACCACCCATCCAGCCACTACACAGATCCCAACTCCGGGAAGCGGAGCGGGTGTAAGGATGCGGCGGTGAATAATAACCGATTCTGGGAGAGTGACTTTCCCAAGGCCTGAGCTGTTCAGCCCACATACTTGCCCAGAGGCAGCACCCAGCTGTCTAGCGCACGCAAACACAGGTCTCATAGCGTCCTTCTGGGAGATGGAGTTTAAATGGCTATGACAAACTGAAACACTTCAGAACGGCTCCACAGCTGCGGGGGCAACTCAGACAGGGAAGGTCTGGAGAAGTCACGGTGAGGCGTCCAGACCTGATCCAAGGTTAAGCTTCCGAGATGGGGCGAGTGGAGAGGGGTGTCACATGATCAAATTAACTTCACTTAGAAGTGACCATGAAAAGTCAAGTTCATTGTATCCTTGAGTCTCGGTATTTGGTTGATTGCTCCTTTGGAGCCTCTGATAGTATATCATGAAGAATGCTGAGGAAAGTCTAGACTGTACTCAGACACCTTTCTCTACTGCAGGAAGGAAGCAGCTGGAGCACCGGAGGGCCTTGGCTTTGGGATCTGGAAAAGCAGTCGAAGCTCTGGAAACTCCATTTCCTCGTTTCCTTGCGTGTTAATTAGAGATGGCAGTCCTGACTGGCAAACTGTCGGGAGGCAGAGCAGACTGGCCACCAAATGATGTTCAAGCCAGATAGTTAGAAGACAGATAATTGTACTGGTAATTTTGAAGATCAGACTTAGAAAAAAAAAAATTGTCAGTAACAATACAAAGAACCCCTATATACCTTTTACAGGCTCTCCGAACATTAAGTTACAACAAAAGCATGCTGCAATGATCAAAATCAGAAAATAACCATCTAGGGCTCTTATATTACCTAACCCTCAGCCCTCATTCAAATTTTACTAAGTGTCCTTTTCTGGCTCAGGATGAAACAATGAATCTATTGTCTGGATCTCTCCAGTCCTCTTGAACTTGAAGTTGCTGGGTCCTTTTTGCTCATGACCTTGACACTTCTGAAGACTTTTGTAAACTGTGTTGTAGTTCAGGTGTATCTGATGCTTCCTCTTGATCAAATGCAAGTCAGGCTACTTTGTGTGGAATCCGACAGGGGTGAGGCTCCAGCACATAACACCCAAAGGCTCTTGCTGTTGACTTATGCATTATAGGATGGTGCCCAGAAGGTCCTCAGCCATAATGTTACAAATTGTGTATGTGTAAGTACCTCTGCCCTCTCATATTAGCACATTTATAGTCTCCACCTGAAATAGCTATTACCATGGTATTTACCAAATGCCGTAGAGATTTGTACCTGAAAAATACATTCTATTGATTTTGGGATGCGGTTATCTGGAGAGGGGTGTGTGTGTGTGTGTGTGTGTGTGTGTGTGTGTGTGTGTGTGTGTGTAGGCTTTGCATAGGCTAGACAAGTGGGCTGTCACCAAGCTACATCCCCAGACTTTCTGATTTCTTTATAATGTAAGTGGAGGATATTGGGCCTCCCAGACTCTCGCTTCCATTTTGTGCTTTTATTATTTTACAAAATGTTTTATTTTGTGTTTTAATAGGTCTTGTAGGAAACTGAGAGATTATCCAAATTATAGTGCTGATTTGAAAACTCACTGGACACTCATTTAAGCCCTAAGTCTATTCCATCGCCACTAATACTAGCACACACACACACACACACACAGAGAGAGAGAGAGAGAGAGAGAGAGAGAGAGAGAGAGAGAGAGAGAGAAACACATGTGCATATGTGCACACACCACACAGACACATCAATGCACCCATACACAGAAGCAGCATCCCTCCCCTAACCCAGAATCTATCCCCCATCCTACACACCTTTGCTAAAACTCGCTGTCTTACTAAGACTACTTTGCTTCAGCCAAGAATTACTGAGAGACCCTTTTCTCTCTGCATGAAAATGCATCAGAGAACCCCTGGAGTTCAGCTTCTCAAATTCAGCTCCTGGGGGTGGCCTGGCCAATTCCAGGCTCCCCCTGAGCAAGCCTTTCCTTTTTATTGTAATGAGAGAAAGGTCACCTGCTGGCTTGGATAAGCATCACTAAGGAGTGTTGGCTTCCATGGCACCAGGAGCCACAGGTTTAAGGTAAGGATGAAACAACATTTCAACTGGCGGGTAGGAAGGGGGCCCTGCCCAGGTCAGGAGGAAGGTGGGAACTCACATAATGAAAAGCCGCTGGTGATAGACACCAATTTCACACCTATTACCCAGGGGAATGACCTCAAACCAGTCCTGGGCGTCATTTGCAAGTGAATTAGGTGTGCCACTTAGCAAGCCTTGCAGAGGGATGGCCTGGCTCCTACCCTGAAGTCTCATGGAAACTTGTACGATTTTCCAAATCCAAGTCAGAGTGTGTCTGCCTTCACCCAAACCTGTTCCTAATGCCTTCACAGGCTCCGTGAAGCTGGAACAGACCAGGTGCACCCACTGTGTGAAACCTCCAAAGTTCTCAAAGGCCCAGGCGTCTAGGTGCAAACCAGATTCCTTTCATAACACATGTGCAGGTCCGGCCTTATGCACCTTGCGCTCTAAAGTAGGTGTGGAATGTGTGTTCTTAGACAAGGGAGGGCTCTGCTTTAAGGCCATTTTCCAGAAACTGGAGTGTCTCTGCATCCTTCTTTCTTGAACGTGTGTTTCCTCAAAGCCCAGACAATGCTACTAGGCAGGGACAAAAGTGGCCAGGCAGTGGTCATATTCAAAATAATGGTGCAAACCAAATGATTGGATCCTTTCTTAGGGAACATTTGTTGTTCCCTGGCATGGGAAAGAAACTGAAGTTCCTGAGGCCAGCAGGCACTGATGTTTACTTTAGCTCAGACTTAAGCTACATGGGAACTGAGGTTTGTAGGAAGAAAGTCCAGGTGGAAATACCGTTATGATCTAACAGTGTGTTTCTAAAAGCACATACACCCACCTGGAGCACCAATGATAAAATGAACACATTGTATAAAGATACTCATAGGACAAATAAAGAGAACTGAAGGAACACAGGTTCCCAACCACAAGTCACTCAACATGTGGGCGAATGGACCAGGCGCAGGAACAAAAGTGTTCTTCTGAATTTCATACAAAGCCATGAACCATGGTGTAAGCCTCTCACCCCGGCACTCAGGAGGCTGATGCAGGAGGATCATGAACTGAGTTCCAGGCCAACCTGGCTTGCAAAGCAAGAAAAAAACCACTCTGACTTCATTCTTTAAACTGCACATTTTACAATAGGGACATTTTGGTTTTTCTCTTTGCCTCCCTGTTTATTTACTTGTTTATGTACTTATTTTGACTCTAGAATAACAGTAGAATTACCATTACTCTAGAATAATGGTAGAATGAAGAGACATCCAGAGACATACCCTGACAATTCCCTCTTACATGCAAGAGTGTTTCTTAGCTAGCTTGCAAAAAAAACCTGGCAGTTTTCCACAAGATTTCAAAAATAGCTTAATGGCAAGATGGCTCCCACATTTTTCCATGAATACATTAGAAACAGATTGATAACTATTGAAACATAAGGCATAAATCCTACCACATTCCGTGGAATCTAAAACTCCATCTGTATAAGATGCTGCTATTTCCTGAAGGTGCAGGGAAGGAAAAGTGCTGATCATAAGCCAGGGGTGTCACACAGCTCCCTTAGTGCCTGGAATTCTCCTTTTCAACCTACTGGAGACCACGGCTCAGCAGATGAAGCTGCTTGTCCCAAGCTTGGTGATCTGGATCTGATTCCCAGCCACATGTAGTAGAAGGATAGGAGCAATTCCTGCAGGTTGTCCTCTGACCTCTGAATGTGCTCTGTGGTGTGCCCCCACACACCCATGCAAGCACATGCACACACACACAAATAATCATGTCAGACCTTGGTATGAAAAATTTTAATTATATACTACTTTCTGCATATTCAAAGAGGAAATACAAATGGAGCACGATGTACCTAAACCCCTTACATTCGAACTCTGTTGAATCACTTCAAGATCATTTTTATTCATGTCTTCCCAGACACTATAGTGCTGTCTATGAGCCATCAAGAGCTCCCTGGAGATGTTAAGGGTATGTGTCTTGGTTAAAACGATCCACAGTGATCCCAGAAGTTTGGAGCCACAGACAAGAGTGCAAATTCAAAGATGGAGAGCTACAGAATGCTCTTCGGGATTTTCTTCCAAACCCATGGTAACAGTACCCAGAGCTTTAATGTTCCCAGAGGGCCAGCAGCAGCTACAGCTACTTCACCTAGAAGTCCAGGTTGAAAGCAGTGTGGATTCTTGAGACTGAAAGCATTCCCCTCACCATCAGGAGACTGAGCACTCACGTTCAACAGTTTCTTCCCTCTTGCCTTCTACCTCTACTTCTCGGCTTCCCTCCAACTAAGGATATTACAGCTACCCAAAGATAAACTCTAGGAAGGGAAGAAAACCTGCCATCCATAATAGAAGTGGGGAAGACTCAGAGACAAACCCGTGACTTAAAGAGTAGCATGCTTAGGACTCTCCAGGGCATCTCGGGCTCACAGGCTTGGTGAGTCAGCCATGCAGGAAGCCAAGCAGCAGTGTTGTAAGAAGCCAGGGAGGCTTCTCTATGGGGGTGGAAATAGCACCAGCTAGGGTGGGGCTGCCCAGGGACACTCAGCTCACCTCACCTTGCTAAACGCCAGCTTGCTCATCTGTAGAGGATGGATGACTCCAGTACCTGTCTCACGAGACTGTCAGAAGGGGTTAGTAATGCATGTAAACGCCATTAATACATGCCAAGGACACCGTGGTCCCTCCACTTTTCCCACACTCAAAATGCAGAGCCAGGTATCACCCTGAGCACGGAAAGAAAAACAGAACTGAAGGGGAAGCAGAGGCCCCCGCCAAAGCTTGCCTGTGTCTAGTTCCCTGAGCTTCACAGGCGGGAGGGCACAGATCGCCTCGATGTTTAAATTCTCTTTTTCCCCAGGATGTACAGAAAACAGCAGCTTAACACTGGGGGCCATTTTCGTATTGTTATTCTCATTCTCTATCGCACTTGATTGAAAACAGTGGTGTTTTAAAGAATCGTATTTGGACAAGACTGAGCCTTGCCCTGTGCTGTTGATGATGGAGGCACAGGCTCTCCTGTGGGAGAGACAAGTCCAGTCACGGGAAGAGGAAAGGCAGGCGCTCGACCCACCACACCCCTGTGCAGCTTGCTCTCAAAGCTCCTCTCCCCTCCCTTCCTCAGACATGCCCACTGCAGCTTTCTCCTCCCGTCTTGTGAAATGCCCCAGTCCACGGCAAGGCACACAAATGCGAGCCTCTGCCTTCCAGGAACCGAGCAAAGCATCTGCCCTGGAGTCAGATCCAGTAAAAGGTGGGGCCAGGCCACAGCCTCAGCCACAGACCCAGTCACAGCCTCGGCCACAGAGGGTGGGTGGGAAGCCCAGAGTGTAATCCCAAATTCAGCAAGACTTTCTCTTATGGCTTTGGCAGCTCAACCAATCATTTCGCCTTGGTTTCCCGTATCTGGAAGGGGAGCTACAGGTTTACCTCCTTTACAAGCCTGCTGCAGAACTGAGGATGTGGGAGGGCGGCTGTTTTGCATGCATTGATGGATGGAATGCAGAGGGAGTAGCAAGTACCACTAGGGCATAATTGTGGGCAGGCTCCCAGCCCCACCCTTCAGCAAACCATATTCCTGGGAGACTGGTTTCCACCATTGCTCCCAGCTGTTTTAAATATAGTGGGCCATTTTCTCCCCCTGCCTTGCCTCATGCTATTTTTAGTCCACGTTGGTTTATGTCTCCACTGTGGCAGCAGCATCCCTTCCCTTTGAGCATCTGCATCTTTTCTGGTACCTCCACGATATCTCACTACATCTTTCTCCGATTTAGGGGGCCCAAAGATGAAGGCCTCAAGCCTGCCTGGTCTGCCTGAGACAGGCTTGACCCCAGAGCAGACAGATGCTCAACTCAGGAAGGCAGGACAGTGAGCA